TTTTTTTTTTTCAGACTTAGTGCTCTACATTCACTTGTAAATTATTTGCATTCTTGTTTTCTGTTGGGGTCTTTCATTAATGTCTACAAGAAAATGTCCAACCTCTCTGTACTTAGAAATTCCTCAAATACTTCTGTTGAATATAGTGCAAAATCACTAATCAGTATCTCATCCTATAAATTAATTAGCCAGTTCTGAATGAGTCTGTGATGCTCAGCTGAGAGGTTGAGGAAGGGGGCTGCATTTGTTTCCTCACCCAGAAGACTAAGATGAACACCTGAGTGTGTGAGGGGTACTGTAATTAAAGAAGCTGGCTCCTCTTGCTGAAATATTTCCCCAAGTTCATGAAGCAGGAGGATGGATGGAGTATGAAAGAAAGCACAGAAGGAAAGCTGACATGTTCTTCCTCTGTCTTCCTGCCCAGCTTGGCCATTCTCTTGGAATGTAACTTGGAGACCTGATACCTCCTCTGGGGATGTTGCATTTACATGGCATTTTGCTGCACATTCACCTCTAATGACTAGGGAAATTGGAGAGTTTATGTTTTTATCTTGCTTATTCAGGGTGCATAGAAGTTAAGCAATACACCTTCCAAACACTTCTAAGTGTTTATCAGCAAACAGTCTAGCAATGAAACATTCACCTTGACACACGCTTATTGTGACTCTTCCTCAAAAGTAAGAATCTGAAAGTAAATCTGGGAAAACACAACCTCTGAGAATTTTCAGGTGGATTCACTTCATGAATATTTCCATGATGTGGGCTCTTTACTTACCCAGTGACTACAGAAATTAAAGTATAATAAAAAAATGCAGCTGAAGGGAATGCAAGTCTTCTAGGACATCATCTGGCTCATAGCAGGACTGAATCAGTCTCACTCCTTAGAGACTCTCAACTTGTCCTTAATTCTCCTAATGGTGGGTGTTTTGTCCAAGAAAAACATTCCTGTGCTTCACTATTCCTTTACTCCCAGTGTTTTCCTTAAAATGTATAACTTAATCACATTTCTCCTTGTTCTGACCATTGTAGATTAATTTGTTCTCTCCTTTTTTTTTTTTTTTCAGCAGCTCATTTCTTTTCTTTTTAGGAAAGCCCAGTTTCTCAGTTTGTTTTGCAGTTCATGATTTCTGAACTTCAGACCATTCCCATGACTCTTTTCTGGAATTTCATGAAATGATACAAGTCAGGGCATAATTATTCAGCTGAGTTCATAGAACCGTAGAATCACAGAATGCTTAGAATTGGAAGAGACCTGTAAAGGTCATCTAGTCAAACTCTTCTGCAATGTATAGGATGTGCACAGCTAGAGGGGTTGCGCAGGGCATGATCCAGCCTTGCCTTGAAAGCCTCCAGGGTCAGGGCATCCACCAGATCTCTGGGCAGCCTGTTCTAGTGCCTCACCACTCTCTATACTACTATAAAAGACCTTTTCCTTATATTCAACCTAAATCTACACTTTTTAAGCCTGAAGTCATTTCTCCTTGTTCTGTCACCACAGACCTTGATGAAGAGTCTGTCCCCTTCTTTCCTGTATCTCCCCTTTAGATATTGAAAGGCCACCTTGGAACCTTCTCTTCTCCAGGCTAAAGAGCCCCATTTCTTTTAGCCTGTTCTCACAGGAGAGGTGTTCCATCCCTTGGCTCATTTTTGTGACCCTCCTCTGGACATGCTTCAACTGGTCCACAGCTCTACTGCACTGAGGACTCCACATCTGGATGCAGTACTCCAGATGAGACCACACCAGCGCAGAGTAGAGGGGCAGGATTGCCTCCCTTGACCTGCTGGCCACACTTAAAAAAGCCAAATAAAGTGGACACTTCATATAACTTGCAGTTTTTACTCCTGCACATATGTTCCAGGGTGATGGTTACAACTTTATTTAGCCAAAATTCCAGTTCTTTTCTTGTAAGCAGCAGTTCTGTAGAGTCCTCACATCTTCTATCCATGGGCGAGTATTCCTACTTTACTGTTATGATATTATACTTACTGGCATAGTTTTCACCATGTAAATTATTAATGTTATTTGAAATTCCAGTCTTGTCCTCCAAGGCAGATTTCCCTCTAGCTTCAACATCATTAATTTAAGTTGGTGTGTAACTTTGAATCTGCTCAAGGTACTCCAAGTGGCCATCAAGCACTTTGACCACTAGTCTGTGCACCGAATCTGCTCAGGGCAGGTGGTTCTGATCCTGAGCACAGCTCAGGGGCTGGTGGAGAACAGCCTGGGCACCGGAGCAACCAGTATTGCTATGAAACATTACACATCACAGATAAAAGATTTTTCTGATCTATTACATGTTGAAACCTTTGGGTTTCAAGATGAAGCTCTCAATTCATTGTGTGCGTTAAGGGACGTTACCATTTATACTTCCATTATGCCTTCCTAAATGGTAGGAATGTGGTTGAAATACAAGTTAAAAATCCCATTTTTACTTAAATTGTTGGCCAATCCCTATAGTGAAGGAAAGTGCAGTAAGAAGGTTGCATCCCATTTTGAAGATTAGAGAACTAAGGTCCTGAGGAATTAGCAACTTGTTCAAGGTCTTGGAGAAATATGGTAAGCAAGCAGGGTCCAATCCCAGCTGCGTCAACTCCCAGACCAGTGCCTTAACCACAAGTCCATCTTTCTGCTCAGCTTGGTCTTTCTGTCTGCTTCCTGGGCAGAGCCCAAGGCCTTGGTGAAAGATCAAGATACAATGTAAGCAAACTTGTGTTTATTTAAAAATGTGGTATACTTGGTAGGCTCTCAGATAATCAGCTTGGCTGCTGAGTTGCTGGAGATGCTGGTGTGCGTCATGGGAGTTTGTGCTGCATTGGTATGTGTATAAACCCTATGACAAATACCAGTGTAGCCAAAGCAGCCTTTAGGAAGGAGGAGGCACCTCAGCTGGAGTTGATTACCACTTCAGTATATCCTGTCGGCTTGGAGAAAATCTGGCAAATGCATGTTGGGAAGAGAGGATAGTGAGAATAGGAAGGAATTAGTGGTCATAGAGAGGTCAGAGTGAGTGGCACAGCTTGTTAATATTAGACTTGAAGCCAGACGGGCTCATAAGATATACTGAATTTGGGAAAGGTGATACACAACTCTGTTTGGATGCCTATCCCATGAATTCACTTTGAGATTTGGCTAGACCAGCTTCATAAAGATCCCAGCTTTCTTGCTTTAATACAAGTTCTGTAAGTGGAGGAAGTGCATGCCTACATCACAGGTGGGCTGTCTTACAAATTTGTTGAAGTACTGAGCCCAATCATCAAGCAGATGTCACTGACAGATACAGCTTCTGATTGAGGATGGCCTCTTTTGCTAGACACTTCTTTTATTAGGTATTCATTTTTGAGTATAGCAAACAAACATTACTTCAGAGAACATCACCTGGTTTAACCTACTTGGATATTAATCCAAAAGAAGGGGACCATCTCTGAAAGATATATATGACAGTGAAGTGATCTGTAGGAGACACACATCTTTAGCATACTTAGCCATGGATCAAATATCTCTGCAATGCCTAGTTATTAAGGTGCTATATAAGGATATATTTGTGCTGCTCATTGTGATCATAGAGTGTCGAAATGGTAGGAATGAGAGGTAATGATGTTTGTGGGATGTGCTGTCATGGTTGGGAGAAGTCTCTATGCTCTAAGCTCCTCTTAGTAGGAGAAAGAAAGAAAGAGTTAATGAAGCTTGTGGGGGGGGAACAGGAAATGTCCCAGCTGGAGCTGATTATGTCTGCTGTGTGTTCAGATGGAAGACATATGGAAGAGAGGAAGATGTGTTGCTTAGGACACAAGGATCTGCTTTTGGTAATGAAATGGACCTTTTGCACTTGTGAAGTCTCCCACTGTACTTAGGGATGGATCCTCTGGGCTGCTGGCTAAATGTCAACTCACACTTTACCTTCACTGTCCAAGGAAAAGCATAGGACGTGAAGGTTGCCCATCTGCCCGCACCTGGCCAACAAGCAGGCCTGCCTGCTCCTATGTAGACCTGTGC